ATCCCTTGTACATAATCAAAGACATAATCGATTACATGACTGCCTCACAAGCATGATTGACTGACGACATCAGCTGATATTGATAACATCAACATAACCTCAAAGTAACACAGCAATATCCAAAGAAGCCTTTATAGCAGAAAAATCACAAGAACACATATTTTGAATAATCCAACAGAATTATTTATCTCTACACAACAGTGCAATATTATTACAATTGTTTACACTCATTAAACCTTGTATTTAAAATAAATATATTATATTTTTCAGCCTTGTCCGTTATTGATTTCCTTTAAAATTATCCTGCCGAGAGACTAATCCACTGAACTATTGAATAATTGGCAGTTCGAGCCATAAGCTAACCCTTTAAATTCGAACAGTTTCTTATTTCAAAAACATGCAATATAATGAATCTAAGATAATCTTGAGGAACGGTAACACTTGCAGTTCTGTGATATTTGTCACGTGGCGTCAGCTGTGCTACATATGGAGGTCGGAGGTCATAAGTCTCCTGATCCTCCTTCTGTGTTATTTGTCACATGGTGTCAGCATGCACTATGTACGGAGGTAGGATGTCATGAATCTCCAGATCCTCCTTACATAGTGTGCTTGGTAGTAAGGTATCACATGAATAGACTGTGTTGGCTGCATGTGTCATAGTGTTGCCTATGTGATACTTGTACATTAATAGAATGCCTTTTGTGTGTGTACCTTTATCGGTGAGGATTCTTTCAATCTAGGCTCCTTATTGAACGAGTGACAAAGTTTAATGATGATTTTTAAGCCATGTTGTATTGTTTGTACTCCTCTTAATAGATTTTCTCAAAAAATGTTTTGATTAGTATAGCAGATGCTCTGGGTGCATCTAAGTGTGCATGGTCTTTGATGAAGATCTTATATAATTCTTTGTAATGTAATAATCTATACTTAATTCATCTAAAGATATGTTTTTGCAATGACTCACTTTCCTCAGACAGTTTCCATTGATGCGTTACAAATTTAATGAGTTTTAATATGAGATACAGAGGGTAAGGGTGACAGTCAAGCTTTCTTGAGTGTCGATTTTCTAGGACTCTTAGTGTTTGAGGATTGGACAGCTTCCTTCATGAATATATTAGATTAATATATTCATGATTATCTTGAACAGCTTGTCAGATCATCTCCAGGTACGTATGTTCCTTAGTAAATGCCTTGTGGACTTCTTCAACGAATGGATACGAGTCTGAGAGCTCTTCTGCTGTGACGTCAAGTTCAGGTACAGCATATTTTCCACAAGGTTCTGTAATATTTGAATGCGATTAGACTATGTTGTCATTTGTATCGTAAGTTCAGAGATTAATTAGGGAGATGATCAGCTGGAAAGAAAGCTGGCTTTTATTGATTTGAAGTTCCTGGTACCGTTGGCCTCCATAGTGGCGTCGTTGAACTCTTTCTTATTGCTTGATAGCTCGTGGAATAGGACCACGTATTCTCTACAGATGTACTGCCTTCCACTTTGTTTAGCAGGCCTGATGTGTATGTGTGGGTCTTGCTCGTGTGCTCGATTCCTTAATTGCGCTATCTGACGTTGAGACTATCCGGCTCGAAGGACCAAATGTTCGATTTTAAAGGTTTAGTTTATGGGTAGAGCTACCAATTCAATAATTCAGTGGATTAGTCTCTCGGCAGGATAACTTCAAAGGAAATAATAAGTGATAAGGCTGAAAAATATTATGTATTTAGTAAAAACAATGTTTATTATGTGTAAATGTTTATAATAATATTGCACATTGATGTAGAGAGAAATAATTCTATTGAAGTAGTGAGGATGTATTCTTGTATTCTTGAATTATTGTAGATGCTATGGATATGACTAAGTATCTTGAAGTTGAAGTAATGCTGATGTTGTAAAAATCAGCTGGTGTAGTCAGTTAATTATGCTTGTGAGGTAGCATGAGAAGATGGTAGTTGAATCAAGTATGTTTGATGTATGAATAACTATACTTGATATGGTGTAAGATGTTTAAGTAAGGAATTTATTAAGTAATCAATCCAGAACAGCATTGTTTCCAGCTAGTTAAGTTGCCACGCTGATACTTAAGCAAGCACGCATCAAGTCTCGTAATTATCACTCAGCAGTTACTCATTATACAGTGTCAGTTATTCCTCCGAGTCAGTTACTCGTCCTAGTCAGTCTAGTAGTCAGTAGTGCCCTAGCCATGCTATTAAGCCGGAGTCTACAGCAGAGAGGAAGTCACACAATCCACGTTATCTCAGTGCATCCATTGTAAAGAACACGCGTTCAATTCTCGAGTGCACAACGGTTAAGAACCAGTCAAGGACTGACTGCAATACTGCAATACATGGAAATAGTTGGCACACGGTATCTGACCCTCCTTCACACGAAGGTATACCAGCAGTCTTTATTGAGAATAACTACCACTCAAATAATTCCAACCGCCCTTTATGAGTATGGTAGGCTCTCCCTACTAATCCTTACAACATTAGCACAGACCACAAATAATCCCATACTCCCTTTATGAGTATGGTCGGCTCTCCCTGCTAAATTTTACAACGTTAGCATAGATCTCAAATCAAGCTATATTTCCTTTCAAGGAATATACAAAATCCATTCCTGATCCCTATAACGTAATTGACGACATCGTCACAACCACCAAAGAGGAACTACATCATTGTGATAGAACATAGTTCACTCTCTCCCACAAGAAGTGAATTTAGTACAACAATACTGTAATTTTCAATAAAACCAAATAAACGATGTTCTAACGAAGTTTGCACACACTGTACATATTTACAGCCCCACCGCTTATGTCCTTTCTTAAGCATCGCTAAGACGGGCGCCATATAAACTGAACTATTGAACTTGGCAGTTCGAGCAAGAAAATTAAATACATTTTCAAACATTTGATCCTTCGAACGTGATCAAACATACAAACTTTCGAACTTTCTCATATACATAAATTATTTAAACAAATAAAATTATGTCCATATACTGACAAAAGGCTTTACAGTTTGATTACTATTTTTCTTTTAAATTTCCTATATTTCCTTTTTCTCTGTCTATTATTAGTTTATTATTTTCTCACTTAACGAGGAAAAAACTTTACCAAAACATTTATCATTTAAATCATTATCTTTGATTAAATTTTCTCATGATTATATATATATTATATAGACATAATTTTTAAAAGAATATTAAAAATAAAGAATTCAGCTTCCTATTATAAATCTATAATAGAAATAATCTTCTTCATACTTTGCATTTTTTAAATTAATGTTTAAAGTTTCTCTTCTATCATATCTCTTATATTTTATATTATTTTAGAAGATAGTATATAAATGATAAATTCGAAGTTTATTTCATAATAGTAATTAAAACTTCAAAAAAAAGTATAATAAATTTATCGATTTCAATAATAATAATAATAATAATAATCATGATGACGATAATACATTTGACAATCGCGTATAAATCAGTTAATAACTATGAAACCCTTTTCGAACTTCTGAATTAAATCAATAGTAAGTGACCTATTGATATTTCTCAATGAATAAAATTGTGCGTACCATAAGATTCGTTTGAATACGCGGTAAACATTAATATATTTGCATAATACTTTAGAATCTATAAAAGATCTGTTATTATATATTATTACATTGTTTAAAAAAAATAAAGTAATTCAAATATTAAATATATACTATTTTGTTATTTAACCTATTAATTCACTAATCTGCTATTTAATTATGACATCGAATTTTTATTTAATATTCATAATATAATTCATAATTTATTTATAATTTTCATAGTATAAATGTTCTTTTGGCTACATTTAAAAATGCCAAAGATCAAAGACAAAGAGGAAATATTATGCATTTTACCCAAATTGTTCATTTGTTAAATATACAAAAAAAACAATTGCAAAAGAATCAAATATACTATGAAACTAGTATTCAATATGTATTTAATTTGGTTTATGACCAAATAGACGTAATCCAACAAGAACAAAAGCAAAAAGAAAAATTTCTAAAGATTGCAATTTTTATAAAATATCAAGGAATGAAAGAATCAATAGAGAGTATCAAGATTAAAAATTTATGTAAGACTTAAAAATATGTCTCTTTCTTTCGTATCAGGAGTATAAATCTTACAATTTTTTTTTTAAATATAAATAAAATATATTCAAGTCGATAATTAATAATCAAATACTTTTTGAATATTTATACATCGCGAATCTATTTCTCTACTTTTTAAATTAATCAACTCGTTTTCTATTAAAAGTTTTAAAAAGTCGATAGATCTGAAAAAAATTTAAGAAGTTTAAAAGAAGCAAATAAAATATTTGAATTTTATTTTATACATTTTTATCTGTTTTAATAATATTTGTAAACACTTATTTCTAAAAACTAAGAATAAAATGTATTATTCATTTCATATAAATGTATTTTGAATGATATAAAATAATTAATATGACGTTAATTAAACTAGAAATTCGTTATTTATTGTACTGATTATGTTTGATTTGAAGGGTTTAGTTTATGGCTCGAACTACCAATTCAATAGTACAGTGGATTAGTCTCTCGCTAGGGTAGCTTCAAGAAAAATACTAAATGAAAGGGCTGAAAAATATTATATTGTAGTAATGAGGGTATGTCCTTGTATTCTTGAATATCGTAGATTCTATGGATATTACTGTGTATCTTTAAGTTGAGATTGTGTTGATGTAAACATTAGTCTATGTAGTCAAACATGCTCATGAGGTAGCATGAGAAAATGGTGTTTGAATCAAGTATGTTTGATTTGCAGAATAACTATACTTGATATGATGTAAGATGTTTATGGAAATTAGTGAGTAATCAATTATGTCTCTAGTTATTTATGGGAGCAGTAGAAGGGCTAATCACAGACAAGAGTCATAAATGATAAGCCATCGAGCTCTTGAAGGACTTAATGATATGTATTTATAGTCAATTAGTCGATCTATTGTTGTCTGTCCTTGACAATGTGCTTAATGCATAGCGACATTTGTGTTGACTGGGGGGCCTTGTTACGTTGAGGGGCCTGTACGGTTTTGAAGTGTTAGTTCGGGAGAGCGTAAGTTTGCCCGACTTGTTGTATGCGAGGTGTGACTAACTAATTTATTAATATAAAATAATGTACCTTGTAGAATGCAGGCAAGGTATATTACTGCTGCGTAATTGATGTCCCCTTTGATCACTATTCCATTGGCTAGTAATCCATAGTAATCACTATCTAATCTGCCGATTTTTTATTCTTATGCACGCTTGTATTCTTAACTATGCTGCCGAATATATGGCCACGTGTCGTCTTCACAGTATACTAAAACACTGAGCGACAGTTACACTTGAGTAAGCGCGACGTGATATTACAAATGAGCCTTTTAAATACGCGCACGAAGCCGAAGGCTTGATCCTTCCGTGGCGGCTCTGCTGAAAATACCGACCGTTCCATGGCAGTCCTGCTGAGGGCAGATCGAGACCCGTGTGCCATGGCTTCTACTGGTAGATAGTTAGATCGGTTCACTATGGTCGGTGTCACTGCTGTCGGGTCACGGCAAGATGATAGCCGCAAGCGCAGTTGAGCGAGCGTGGTTCGGCAAGAGAGATTTTCAGCGAGAGAGCGAGATGCGCCGCGTGCGTCCCTTATATAGCCACGCGGTGGCTCACTTAGACTGACAACAAGGCATCGTCGTTGTTTCAGTAATTATTATATGAGGCGTGGAAGGAAAATTCTAGAACCTTCGAGAATGTTCGACGAGAGAAAAGTAAGCGCAATACCCTTGGGTGATCTTATAGTATATTATATTTCAGGTCGTAAACTTGCTCGGACTTGCCGAGTTTTGTTTGTAAACATTCGGTCGAGTGCGGGTCCCGGTCCGCACGTGCGTGCCAGTCTAGGCGCATATGCTGTACGCCGGACAGCGCGTATGACCTTTCTTTTGTTTGAAATTCATGAGACTGCATCAATCCCGAACAGTAGGCATTCTTTTGTGTGATCCTATAGTATATAATTATATATAATATGATTTAATTTCTTTCGCAAAAACTTGCTTGGACTTGTCGAGTTGTGTTTTTAAACATTCGCCCGAGCGCACGTGCCGGTCCGAGTGCGCGTACCGTGCGTCGTACAACGCGTGTGACCTACTTTGTCCTAAATTCGTGGAAACTGTGTCAATCCCGAACACATTACTATGAACAAGTTTCTAATAGTACATTTATTGATAAAATATGTGTAATTAATTGTAAAATCACTTTTAACGTATATTTTTAAGTATAGGTTGGAATGGTTTAACAATTGTACATTTATAAGCATTAAGCATTCTTTTTATCAATTTTTCATTCAGATTTAAAAAAAATTATTAAAGCAATTGTTATTACCTTAAAAAATCATAATCGTAACATGAAACTGAGAAAAAATTGTGTGAAAATAATGAAAATCAATTCACTAACAATAAACGGGAGGAAAACATGTTTTTTGGATGGAAGTTATGTCAACATTTTATATTATGCATGTTATGTCAAATTAACTCTACTAATAATGTATATTCATATATTATAAAAAGAATTAAGTAATATTACAAAATCTGATAAAATATTCAATTACAATATAAAGTTGATATTTAACTAGTAAAACTGCTAAAATATACAAGCGTAAACATAAAAATTACTATTAAACATTCTATATTATTTTTTATTGAGATAAAAAAAATTTTCTTTTTAATAATTACCTATACTCATGTTCGTAATTCATGTGCTTACATTATATGGACATATGTATTTGCACACATGTATGAAACATATCCATTAAAATATATATGCTGAATATTTTTACAGTTAAATTGATTAAGTCATTATATACAAAATTATATAGTTTAAACATAATTAAATTATTTAAGAACGAAAATTAAAAATGGACTCAAATTTTTTCTAAGATTATTTTATAAGACTTCATTAAAATATATTTAAATTATCTAATAAAAACAACAGCTTTTTAAATTATTTAGTTTAATTTAAAAATTATAATTTATTCAACTCTTACTCAATTAAATTTAATATTAATTTTGTTTAAGTATTTATTTGAGAATCCGAAAATCTCTCAAATGTTGTTATTTTTGGAAAAACTGTTATCATTTCGGGAAAAACCTCAATGATTATGATTTTCGGGAAAAACTTCAACGATTATAATGTCAAGGAAAAGCCAGTATATCCGAAATGATACAACTGCACAATTACCTCGATTGTTTCTCGCACCACTGTCGCACCAATTGATTCTGGCACCATAATCGTCTCCATTGTTGTCAGCTAACAAAGCTGCCGCGTGGATATTTAAGGCAAACGCACCGCGATGTGCTGTAGTAGACTTTCAGTCTTTGACGCAGTCAGACACGCTATTAACCCATAAAGACTAGTCGGCTAGCATGCTACTCCACAGCAGAAGGAAGATACGTCGATTCACTTGTGCTGCAAGATCAGGGATTGACACTATCTCCTTCATATTAATAACAATATCACTATCATCAAGGAACATTTCGTGTACAAAAACTATTCACCACAAAAGCAGTTCCAAGCAACTGCATCCTCGTGATTAAACATAGGATACATCTTTCCATCGCATAAATCCAACACATCAATAATGTAATTATAAATAAACCATAATAAACCATATTTAACGAAGAAGTGTACACTGTATTAAACCAGCCCTTCCACTTAACTCCTTTTCAAGCATCCATTAGGGCGGGCGGCAAACTATTATAAGGCTATTGAAACATTGGCAGTTCGAGTCACGAAATCAGACAGTTTCCAACATTTGGTCCTTCAAGCCGGATAGTGGAAGGTAGTGCATCTCACCAGTGCCGTGCATACGTGAAACTTCAAAAATTCAACAGTTACATTTTCGCGACTGCATACTATGTAACACGTGGCATTACACTAAGGAGATCCGGAGATTTACGACCTCCCACTTGAAAAGGAATTCGCACAATATAAGACGACTCGAAAAATGATCACTAAACTTCACCAATTCTTCAAAAAAATCTAGTTTAAGAGAAGTCTCGCAAAACAAAGTTGTTCGAAATATAGTGATGTAATTCTTGGCTCGAACTGCCAATGCTTCAATAGCTTAGTTTGCCGCCCGCCCTAGCAGACGCCCGGGATGGAGATGGGTGGAAGGGCTTGTACAAGAGTCATTAGTGTTGATTATACATTTATTAAACAATTTATTACCCAATTTACATATGGGTGTTTTAATATCTTCTTGAGTCTAGTGTAAAGATATGATTTCTTGAACGTTTTCTTGAATGGTGTGTTTCACTACACAAGATGCTCTTGAGATCGTTAAATTAAGGTGTTGTGCCGATCAGTGCCATCGTCGAGCTAGAATAAGTAGGTTGCACGGACAGCGTACTCACAGTGATGCAGTACCTTGACCTGATCCTGGATTGAGTAGTTTACCACAAAGCACGCGACAAACACTAATGTGCGTGGTCGTCTTTCTCGTCGAAGTGAAGATATGATTTCTTGAATGGCTTCTTATATAGGAGGTGTCACTACACAAGATGCTCTTGAAATCGTTTAATTGATGTTAAATTGAAAAGTTGCACAGGTAAATAATTACTGTATACTTCTTGTCAGAGAGTGTGAGATAACGTTAATGGTTGTGTTGTGCCGGTTTTGCCGCCGACTGGAAATAATTGAGTAGATAACGTGGATTTGTGTACTCACAGCGATATCGTAGTTTTGATCTGATCCAGGGGTGAATGGGTCACCAGGGCACGCAGTAAAGCAAATGCGTGCCAGATGACTCTTATACTCGCAGGGATACACTAGTCTTGATATGATCAGTGGGTCTTCGCAATATAATTGTCTCTAATTTATTAACACGTACTACTGCGTTGCGTTCTCTTCAGACTTGGCTTGCATAGACGAATAGTCTCTATTACTTAACTTTCCCTTGAGATAGCCCTTGACTGCCTACGCGAGCCGTTTTCTCAAATTCTCTCTGCGAACAGTCCTTGGCTGCCCACGCGGACAGCGTATTCCAATTGTCCCCCGTGGACAGCGAGCTTTCGCTGCCTTGTTC